AGACAGTCGGTGCCCGGAATTGAACCCGAGTCCTTTAGAAGAGCAGCCAGTGCTCTGAACTGCTGAGCCACCTCTTTTGAGCACATGTATTATCTCACTCAATCTTCATAACAAGGCAAAGAAAGACTACAAGTTGGGTATCCCTGTCTGGGATGCTTGGCATTTCACGTATTTCAGATTTGGGGGATTTTCTGATTTAAAAATATTTACACAGATTTTACTGGTTGAGCATTCCCAAACAGAAGTCAACGCTTCAAGGCCAAGGCTGCTGTTCCATAGGTAGAGTGCTTTCTCTCACAGTTTCACCCAGCACTGCTGGCTGGCAGTGGGCACACTGTGAGCCCAGCACTTGGGATGTGGAGGCAGGAAGATGGGGAATTCAGTCTTCCTCAGCTCGCGGCAAGTTTGAGGCCAGCTGGGCCAGCTGAAGAATCCAGGGGTAGGAAATGGCTAGAGGTGGTAGAATCGACTGCCACCAAGTGTAGCAACCCGAGTTTGACCCCTGGGACCACACTACGGAAGGAGAGAACTGACTCTAACAAGTCACCTTCTCACCTCACCTATTCCCCATGGGGCACACCCCACCCCAGTCAGGCAATTAGCCAATATAAATGGAAAGAAAGGGGAGAGGGCAAGGAGGAGAGAGTGAAGGAGGAGAGCTAATTTTTAAAAATATTCAAAATGCAACCACCGTGCTCCAACATCAAAGGCTCTTTGAGCTCTGTCGATACTAAAGTGTGCTAAGTTTCAGAACATTCCAGACTAGGGTTATTCAACCTGTATATCAGGGTCTCAAGTATGAGATGAGAAAACGAGGCTTAACAGATAAGCATTTGCCTAGAAATCTCGGAGCTGGTTACGTGGTAGCATTACAGGTCACAGGACGTGACCGCCCTGGGGTGAAGGAGGCCTTTAGTGACAACTCATGTGCAGCACACGTAGCTTCTCAATGATGGAAGGGCTTGGCCTGGCTCTTGCGTGCTTTTCTTGTCCTCATCTTTCCATATCGGTCCCAAGCCCAGAGCCTGGAGCTCTTGACCCACATTAATCTTCTTGGCCCTCAGAGCCCTATGGGATGGCTAATAATTTCTCCCATGCAGAAATTGAGAAACACATCCAAGTTGCTGGTAAATGGCACAACTGGACACAAATGGTCTGATATAAAAATACACAGTCCTTCCAGGACAGGCTCCAAAGCCACAGAGAAACCCTGTCTTAAAAAAGACCAACAAGTAAATAAATGAAGCATGGTTTTGCCAGGCAGCAGTGATGCATGTGTTTAATCTCAGCACTCAGAGGCAGAGGCAGGCAGATCTCTGTGAATTTGAAGCCCGCCTGGTCTATAGAGAGAGTTCCAGGACAGCCAAGGCTGCACAGAAAAAAACCTGTGTCAAAAAAACAAAATAAGAAAAAGTTTGTTGTTTATTTTCTTTTTTCCCCCTTCTGCCCTTCCAGGCAGTCCAGTCACAGGAACCCACCATCAGTCCACCTGAGCACTGTCTCCCCATACGTTCACAACAGTAAACGTTCGCTGCTAGATCAGTACACTCTCATGCCTGTCTAGAACCCTGTCCCTCAATCCCTACCAGCTATGTCAACACCAACAAATGCTGTCGGCTCCTTTCATGACTGTCCCTCAGGTCATAGTGACACCTCCACACGACGCGGAAGTAAAGGGGCCAAGCTCTTTCATAACTAATACCAGTTACAAAAGAAAAACATTCCTCAAGGTTTCATCCCATACTTTTGAGTGTTTGCTTTTGTTTTTTGAGATAGGGATTCTCTGTGTAACAGTCCTGGAACTCGCTTTGTAGGCCAGGCTGGCCTCGAGTGCCACAGGTCTGTCAACATAACCCTGGCTGTCCTGAAATTCACTCTGCAGAGCAGGCTGGCCTGGAATTCACAGAGAGCTGCCTGCCTCTGCCTCTCCAGCGCTGGGCTGAAAGCAGTGCCTCGCTAGAGCTTCAGTCCACAGATATAAAGGCCAGAGAATAGTAGACCTTAAAGAGGAGGTAAGAAAAGTTACCCCAAAGCACCAGAATGACGCTTAGTTGTTACAAGATATATTCTGCTGAATGGAGACGGAGGAGGAATGGATTAGGGGGGGAGGGGGGAAGGGAGGAGAGGAGGGAAGGGAAATTGCAATGGGGTGTAAAATAAATGAAAAAAGTTAACTAATACAAAAAAAAAAAAAAGATATATTCTGTCTAAGCTGTGTGTGGTGACACATGTCTATAATCCCAGCACTTGGGAGGCAGAGGCAGGAGGATCACCACCAGTTTGAAGCTGGCACAGACTTCACAGTAAGTGTCAGGTTGAGCCAGGGCTATAGAGTAAAGACCATCAGGAAGAGCCAGGGTGGTGAGTCAGAGGGTAAAGGTGCTTCCTGCCCAGCTTGAATGTGACCCTTCTAACGTGCATGTGGGAACAGAGTCAACTCCCGAAAGCTGTCCTCTAACTCCCCACACATACTGTGGCATGTGTGCCTACAAACGTACAAAGGGGTAAGTGCAGTCTTAATGTTCTTTTTATTCTTTTCATTCTTATGTGTGTTGGTATTTGGCATTCGCACATGTCTGTGTAAGAAGAGTTGGATTCACTGGAATTTACGTTACAGACAGTTGTGAGCTACCATGTGGGTGCTGAGGATTGAACCTGGGTCCTTTGGAATAGCAGCCAATGCTCTTAACCATCGAGCCACTTCTCCAGTCCTCCTCCCCCCTCCCCTTTTTAAAGTCAGGGTCCCACATGTAGATCAGGCTGGCCTTGAACTCATAGAGATCCACCTGCCTCTGCCTCCCAAGTACTGTGATTAAAAGGATGCACCACACCTGGCATACATTCTGCCTAGAAATCTGAGATTAGAAACCTGTCATTAGTAAACCCAGAGATTCATCCTATGCCTTAAAGCTCCATCAGTTCAATGTCAGTGACCACTGTTAGTATTAGGCATTCTACTGGCCTGCTTTGGAGCTCTGATAAGACACGCCCCAGCTTCCACCAAGAGCACCACCTGTGCCTACTCATCATTCCCTTTTAAAAAGTCCCTGCCCCCTCCCCTTCCTCCCTCTCTCTCTCTCTCTCTCTCTTTTTCTCCCTCCCCCTCCCCCTCCCCCCTTTCCCACTGCTCCTAACCCCTTTTTACTAACCTTTTCCCTTAATTAAAAAAACCACCCTCAGCTTGAACTCGGTCTTTCTCTCTCCAGCTGCTTTTTTAAATTGCAAACACTGCCTCACTTGGAGATACCAGCTCTTAGTGAAGTTGAGTCTGCAATGCTCTCCGGGTCCAGTTACCATGCCTGCAGCCTTGAGGTACCCGGGCACATCACACTGACACTACTTACAAACTCATCCATTTGCTTCCCACTAGCTTCCTCTACAGAACAGAAGGGAAAGCAGGACAGGGAAGAATACATTTCTGACTCTAAAGGAAGGAGAGAGAGTACAAGACAACTAAACCACACTAGCTCCCACGGCCACACTCAATCCTGACGAGCATGGAGGTGGGAAACTCCTGGACGCAATGGGTCGGAGATGGGAAGCTCCAGTCCCACTCTCGAGGAGCCAAACCCAGGAGTCACTGCCCTCCCCTCCAGCCTGGGCCTGGGCAAACTCTGTTCCCAGGACACTGTGCTTCCTTCCTCTCCACTAGATTTGTCTTTGCTATGCTGGCAGCCAAACTTTATCTTCTTGAGGCAGGGTTTACTTTGTACCCATGGCTGACTTAGATGTAGAACAGGCTGCCCTGAAACTCTCTATGTAGACTAGGCTGGCCAGGAACAACCAAAAAAAAAAAAAAAAAAAAGTGTATACCATGCCCAGCTCAAACTTACATTCTCTCTCTATATGCAATAAACAGTTCCACTCTGAACTGAGCAAAGAGAATTTAAATTTTTAAAAGAGGAAATGGGGAAAGATGATGCTTTCCAATTCCCACATCAAATCATAGAACTGAGTGCATCACACGCTGGCCAGCAAAGGCTACCACGACCCAAGTCTTGAGTACTTTACTTCTAAGCAAGACAACATGCTGGGGAGATAGCTCAGTGGTAGAGCACTAGCCTAGCATCCACTGGGACCTGTGTTCAATTCCCAGAACAGAAGCCAATTTAATAAGAAAAAAGAAACTACTAAGCAAACCAGAGTTCTCAAAAGCTCCATCAAAGACCTGGAGGTGAAATAACCCTGAGCGGATGTCTATGTGGTCTATGTGGGAGCAGCCTGGGTGTTTCCCTGTGATCCTTAAAGCAACCATAGGAGCACTGCCCTCTTTTGCTAAAGAAACTGTGCCTCAGAATTTCAATATTATCTAGCTAATAAGTAACTTTCATTTGAAGCCAAACTCAGGGACACTGTCATGACATACCACCTGCCACCATAAAGCTAAAACCTAACTGGAGCAAAGCTGTCACCAGCCTTTAAAAAAAAAAAAAAAAAAAAAAATAGCTGGACATAGTTGCATACACCTTTAATCCCAGCACTTGGGGGGCAGAGACGCATACAGATCTCTCAGTTCAAAACCAACCCCCGTCCTCATGATCAGTTCCTAGCTAGCCAGTCAGGAATACATCGTGAGACCCTGTCTCAAAGTATTTGATGGAAAAGTGGCAGAAAGACACACCCCGAGTTGACTTCTGGGCTCGGAACATACCTGTAAACTCTCACCTGTGTGCAAGCATGTATGTTAGCACACACAAACCCACAGGTAAAGTAAACTAGTGCAGGTGAGGTGATTCAGGGGGTAAGGGCAGGTGCCAGGAAGGCTGCTAGCATGAGTTTGAATCCCTGCCACCCACCCCAGAACCCACATGCTAGAAGAACCCACTTGCACAAGTTCTGACCTCCACATAGGAACCATGGCACATGGATTACCATCCCATACACTTAAATTAGTTAAGGAAAGAAAGGGAGAGAGGGAAGGAGGAGGGGAGGGAGGAAGGGAGGGAGGGAAAGGAGAGACAGAGAGGCCACACTTTGTGGGAGTAAGTAGGTGTGCTTACCTTTCAGAAGTGCAACTGAGAGTTGGTCAGTGTTCAGGTTACTGACATATTTCCCCAGATAGGTATTGAGAACCCAGGCCACAAGACCTTCCAACATGACTACTTCCTCAGGAAAAGGGGCTTAGAAATCATGGGTCAGTCTTTAGTTCTGTCTCTCATGGTCACAGAATCTATAATAAAAGGGAGGGGGAAAGGAAATTAACCACAGGTTGGCTGGGTGTGGTAGCACACGCCTTTAATCCCAGCACTTGAGAGGAGAGGCAGGTGGGGCTCTGTGAGTTCCAGACCAGCCTGGTCTAGACTTCCAAGCCAGCAAGATCACAAAAACAACAACAAAACCTGGATGTATTTCTGTGTTGACTGCCAGTTCTGCCTGCCTGCAAGTGGATGAATGCAAGGGGCGAGCCTACAGAGACTTGGGGGAGCGGAAGAGCAGCGCCCACACTGGTCTTCAGCTACAGGGACCACTCAGAAACTTAAGAAAACCACCGGCAGCTATTCTTTGAAACACTTCCTTTGGGGACTAGAGTTGGGTTCAGACTGCCCTAGGGTTCAGACAGGGCCAATCTGACAACGTCTGAATACGTGCCTTTTTTACTCTAAGTGTGTGAGTGCACCATATGCACACAGGAGCCTGTGGGGGCCAAAAGACTTGGTAAGATCCCCTGAAACTGGAGTTAAAAGGGGCTGGGAGTCTCCATGGGGGTGCTGGGAACCAAACCCAGATCCTCTGCAAGAGCTAGTGTTCTTAGCCCCCGAATGTCTCTCCAGCTCTCTAGTTCAGATTCTGCGATGGCTATCTTGTGAGAAGGGACTGTGGAAGCTGTCAAACATCTTACAGTGCTCACGACAACCCCACAGAGCACGGACTCATCTGGCCCAAATGCTAAGAAGCAGGAACCTAGATCAAAGCAAAAATGTTCAGAAGGCTATGTGAACGAAATTCACACACTACAGCACTAGCTAAGGTGTCCTAATTAAAATTTGCAAATTTATTCATTAGGTTCATTCATAAAATCATCTCAATGGAAGGCAGTGCTTTATTGCTACTTTTCTTTTTTTTCACATGGGGTCTCATATATCCAAGGCTGACCTTGAACTCACCATATAGCTTAGGTTATAGCCTTGAACCTCTGAGTCTCTAGTCTTCAGCTCCCAAGGAGGTGCCGGGATTACAAGTATGCATCACCGCGTCTGGTTTATGTGGTGTTGAGAATTGATTCTAGGGCTTCGAGCATGCTAGGCAAGCACCCTACCAACTGAGCTACATCCCCAGCTACACCCTGAAGATGTTGCTGCCCTAATGAACTATTTCAGCCAAACACCAGAAACAAACACCAGAAACCCTCTGGTCATTGGCTCCATATTCAGATTCAGTATTGAATCACAACTGCCTGTTACAATAAGTGGTGTAATATTGTGCATACCGGTATTATAAAAAAAAAAAGTAAACTATTCTTTTAAACACTATAAACACACTAAAGCTTATCAAAACATTGGCAATTAGTGTAAGTTTTCATTTCATCTGGTATAAGAATAACTAAGGTACTTCAGCAAATATTTGTAAAAAGGTTTTGCCTGGGTGGCTGGAGTGGCAGCTCATTGGTTAAGAGCACTGGCTTCTCTTACAGAGAACTAGGTCTATTCCCAGCTCAAACCATCTGCAGCTCCAATTCCAGGGGATCTAATGCCCTCTTTGGCCCACATGGTACACAGATATTCATACAGACAAAACATTCATAAAATAATTTAAAAAAGAAGAAGATGATGACTTTGCTGAGGTTATATAGATGATTTTTACTATTACAAAAGGTTAACATAAGGGCCATCCAAATAGCTCAGAGAGTAATGGCATCTGCTGCCAACCTCAGGACCTGAATCCCATCCCCAGGACACACAGCAAGGAGAAAACTGGCTCCAGAAAGCTGTCCTCTGACCTCCACAGGCAAGCTGTGTGTGGTATGGGCACACCCACACAGACTCAAGTGCCCATACACACAATAAATAAACATGATTTCAAAAAGGTAACATGAGAGAGACTCAAACAAACAAAAAGGTTTAAATGGAGCCAAGAATGTTGGTGCATGTCTTTAATCTTGGCATCTCAGTCCCAGTAGCAAATGGACGTCTCTGAGTTGGAGGCCAGCCTGGTCTACATATCTAGTTCCAGAACAGCCCACCAACAAACAAACAAAAACAGAGTTTAGGTGGGTTCTCGGATGACTGGGCTAGTGGATTCCAATTAGAACTGTGAGCTGTAAATCTTGCTCTAGGCCATTCATGTTGCTCACCAGCCACCACACCAGACATTCCAGATTTCCTGTGGCATATGCCCCACTTGGAAAGAGACTATTATCAGGATCCTTTCCCAGGACTTTGCCCAATGACTAGTGAGTTATCTTAGTGCCAGAAGACACATTCACCCCAAGGAAAAGGCTACCAACACAAAGAAGACCTGAGGCAGAAGCCCCCTAAGAGTTGAACCAGTCTCCATGGCAGACTGGTATCTAGCACTTCCCTGAAAGATCTGTTTATTGTCAGGGACACTTAAAAATCATTTAACTATTCAGGGTAGTGGTATATAATTTTAATCCCAGCACAAGGGAAGCAGAAGGAGGCAGATCTCTGAGGGGTTTTTTGTTTCGGTTTGGTTTGTGTTTTTTGTTTGTTTGTTTGTTTGTTTGTTTGTTTTTTGAGACAGGGTTTCTCTGTGTAGTCCTAGCTGTCCTGGAACTCACTCTGTAGACCAGGCTGGTCTTGAACTCACAGAGATCCACCTGCCTCTGCCTCCTGAGTGCTGGGATTAAACGCATGTATGACCACATCCCAGCTTTAGGTCTCTAAATTTTGAAACCAATCTGGTCTACATCGACATAGGGAGTTCCAGGCCAGCCAGGGCACATACTGAGACCCTGACTAAATAATAGTATTATTCAAACATTTTGCAGAATAATTGACATTTCTTCCAAACAATTTTTTTTTTTTTTGTAATGCTCCAGACATAAAACTAAGAATCTGAGGAAGACCCTTCAGTATTTGTTTAAATAGAAAACAAGAACAAATTTTTCTTTTTAGTCAAAAACGCTTCACAGTTTAAATAAAAGAAACATTTCTCCTCGGGAGGCAGAGGCAGAGGGATCTCTGTGAATTCAAAGCCAGCCTGGTCTACAGAGCTAGTTCCAGGACAAAAAGAAAAAAGAAAAAAAAGGAAACATTTCTCTATTGTCATTCGAAAAGGTAAATCCATTAAAACACAGTGTGAAACTGACTAGCCTGTTTTACTATCTGAGCCTCGGACAGTCCTGGGCACCCAGCCAAGGCTGGAGTACTCTTTATTTTTGTTATTGTCATTAATTTCAGCCCTAAACTCCAGCTCTCCCTGAAGTGTAGCTCCAGATCTTTCCCCAGTAAAGAGAAACCAGTGTCAATCGGGTCAGCATGATGCCTCAAAAGGTAAAAGTACTCGATGCCAAGATTGAACACCTGAGGTTAATCCCCAGAATCCAAGAGGTGAAAAGAGAGGGAAGACTCCTACAAGCTACACACACACACACACACACACACACACACACACACACACGTTGTCCTCTGCTCCGCCTCACCACACACACACACACATACACACACACACAACACACCATACACACACATTATCGTCTGACCCCCCCACACACATACACTCATATACACACATTCATACACACACACAATGTCCTCTGCCCCACCCCCACACACTCATACACACACTCACACACATACTCAGACACACACACACTTATACACACACACATACACACAAACCACATACACACACACAGGTTGTCCTCTGACACTACGCACACACCACACACATAAAATAATTTTACTTTTTCAGGAAAGTACTGTCGTTTGTATTTTGTCACAAGTTCAAGCCCTACTGTACTTTACTCTCACTGTGGAAGAACATGAGGTACACATTACAAAGACATGGATGGTTAGTGCACTAAGATGTCCCTCTGCTCAGTAAACTGAGGCCCACGCCAGGAAACATCCATTAGCTCTGCTAAGCATCTAGAACAGGCTTGAGGCCACTTCAAGGATTGCCCTAAGGAATCCGGTTTCAGGAAGGGCTGCCAGACTGGCCAGAGTGTTTATATGCTCAGGTCCATCAGGATTTCTAGGCAGCTGCCCCGCAATAACCCCCACCTGGCTTCCCCTATCCAGTGTGGCAAGTGACACTGAGGATCTGGGATCAGCCCCACAGCCCGGGCAGACAGCCGGACATGACCTTGAGCCAGGCCCCTCCCGAGAGGAGGCCAGACCCGGGAAGGAAGCATTGGCAACTGGACCTGGGGAGTCCTCTGCGAGGCGGCTAGGGCTGAGAGCTGAGGGATCCCGGGAGCTCTGTCTCAAGGGGACAACTGCAAGGGGTTCCACAGGAATGCACAGCTTCCCTTGCCTTCCCACATCTCCGGCGGCTGTCACAACCCCAAGCCTGGCTGCAGCAGGGGACAGAGCCACCAAGCCTAGAGAAGATGGGTAGTCTCTAGGTTAGTAAGAAAGGCGAAGGGTCTCCTACCTGGAGGTGGCGAGGGGAAGGGAGGGACCCCGGGGGCCAGGCCTGATGTCCCCACCCAGAGGCTGACCCCAGAGGGGATGGGATGGAGGCACTGAGGGAAGGGATGACGCCCCGCTGGGGGGTGCTGCTGGAGGGACGCTCGCACGCTGGTATCAGGCCTCTGGGGGAGAAGTGACACCCACAATCCAGGGGTGTCGCCAGGCTGCAGGGACCGGAGCCCCGAGCCGGGCCTGAGGTGCCGGCGACACTCGGGATCCGGGGTCCCCGCGAGGCCGCCCGGGCTCCGTCCGGGAGAGGCCGGCTGCCGCGGACGCCGAGCGGGGCCGTCTGAGCACGGCCGTGGCGATCGCGGTGGGCGCCGCTCGTGAGACCCTCAGCCCTGCCCGCCGCCCCCCTACCTGTCACTGTCGCTGTCGCTGTAGCTATTGCCGTGGCTGCCGCCCTACCCGGCTCTGCTTCCTCTCCGCCACTCCTCAATGGCGCTGGCTGGAGCGCCAGACCCGACCAATCGAGAGGCTGTGTGCCTGCGCCTGGCCAGCCGAGCACCGAGCCATCGATGGGGCGCCCCCTAGCGTCAGCAGCCGCTCCTGCAAGGCTGTGGACCCCTCCCAGGATGCTGGGGGCTTAAGGTGCAACAAGCCAATCAGCCCCATTTCACAGGTTGATAAACTGAGTTCCAGGAGAGTGTAGGGATATAAATGAACCTAGTTCAAACAGTATTGGGCCTCCAAAAACACCCTGCTTTCCATCCAACTTCCATCTCGCCCTACCCACAGTGACCCCTTGACTGACACAGAACTCTTGTTACTCAAACTGTGCCCTTTTCTACTTAAACCACCCTCCCCCGCTATACTTTTATTAAAATTCACCTCCTGGACCGGCAAGAGAGCTCAACCAGTACAGGAGCTTGCAGCCAGAACAGACCACCTGAGTCTAATCCCTACCACCCACACGGTAGAAGGAGCACACTGATTCCACAAGCTGTCCTCTGCCTCTGTGGGCCTGCCCACACATACACACAAACTTAACAAGTGCAAAGTTTTCAGCTAAAATACATTCTCCTCCTTCTGAACACTCAGGAGGATCGATAGTTGGAAGCCAACTTGGGCTACATAGTGATTGTGTGGGTGCTGGAAACCAAACTCCTTCTCTACAAGAGTAGCCAAGGGTTGCTAACCATGTCTCCAGCTGCTAGATTTCTTGATAGACCTTGTTTGTTGGTTGGTTTATTTGCTTGCCCAGGACTCATCTCGAACTCATGGCCTTCCTGCCTCCACTTCTGGAGAGCTGGAATTGCGGATGTGAACCGCTATGCCCAGCTCTTCACAGAACTTAATGCTACTTGAGATGATCTGTGGATTTGCCTATCCCTTGGTTATCTTTCCTAACCCTGGCAGTTACTCTAGAACAAATGCTTTGTCTTTTCCCATGTTTCCTCAGCAAACACTGCCTGAGCTCCAGGTGATGGCACACACTTGCCTTCCCAGCACTTGGGAGGTGGAGGCAGGGGAGGTAGGAGTTCGAGGCCCTCCTCAGCTACACAGCCAGTTTGAGACCGGCCGGTAAAAGACCCTGCCAGGAAGGGAGAGAGGGAGGGAAGGAGGGAGGGAAGGGGAGAGAGGAAGGGGGAGGGAGAGGGGAGAGAAGGGAAAGGAGGGAAGGGGAGGAGAGAGGAAGGAGGGAGGGGAGGGGAGGGGAAAGGGAGGAAAAGAATTCTCAAGCATCTTCTTCACTGGACTACAGAACTCCTAGGGCGCTAAGGAGACTTGCGTCTGAGTGTGTCTGGGAGGGGCTTTCCTGAAAGCGCTAACTGAGGAGTAAGATGAATGTGAAAGATGAGTCGATATCTCAGACTGAATAAAAAGGACAAAAGCAGCCAGCGGAGAACACCTCACCGGCTAAGATCGAGCTAAGATCACTGCTACAGGGTTTAGTTCTCAGTGCCCATAGCAGATGGTTCACGACTGCCTGTAACTCCAGCTCCAGAGGATCCAACACCATTTTCTGGCCTCTAGGGGTACTGTTTTCACATGGTACACAGACAGACAGGCCTGCACACATGCATGCATGTACACAAAAATTGATTTTCAAAACCTTTAGATAAAAAAGGAAAAAGAGAACTAAGCAGCAACATTCCTCTCTCTGCTTCCTTGTCGTTGCCATAGACCAAGCTACCCCTACGGCCATGCTTTCTCCACCATGAAGGACTGTACCCCAGAATGTGAGCCGAAATTAACCCTTCCCCCTTATGGTGCTGTTGTAGGGTACTGGGCTACAGTGATGAGAAAAGGTAACCAACACAGAATGAACGAACAAGCAAACGAATGAATGAATGAGCAAATGAACACTTCACTCTTCCATTATCAGAAATAGCAAGAGCTGGCATCTCTCTAAGGCTCACATAGTCAGAAGATGCAGGAAGGTGAACAACAAGGCTGTAGCAATATGTTCCCTGTAGTAATTATCCAGCCTCATAATGCCGCACTGATGCAGGTGACTCTCAGATTGTGAGCTGACTCACTCCTAAGCAAGGCAGGGATTCCCAGGAGGAAGGTAAGATCTACCGACCTCTTGGCATCTCAAAGCCAGACCCCCCTCCCCCTTACAGCCACCATGTGGGAACAAAACCTGGGACTCTCCTGATGAAATGCAGAAGAGAGTCAGCCCTTGGGCCTCAAAGGCTAGGTCAGTTAGCTTAGAATCTCCAGGCTGGGGGAGGGGCTGTTTGGGAGAGCTCTCTATTAGCATGTGCTAGTAAGAAATTAAACAAGCACCTTTAGCCAGCACCTGTAGTCCCACCCACTTGAAAGGCTGAGCCAAGAGGATACTCAAGCCAGGAGTTTGAGGTTAGTTTGGACAGTATAGCAAGTCCCCATCTCAAACAAAACAAAATCCAGGAGCTGGAGAGATGTGGCTCATCAGTTAAGAACACTTGCTGCTCTTGCAAGCAATCTGGGTTTGGTTCCAGAATCCCGCAACTATTTGTGACTCTAGTTCCAGGGGGACCCGATACCCTCTTCTGGCCACCAAAGACACCGGGAATGCACGAGATGCACATACATCCATGTAGGCAAAACACTCAGACATATAAGACATTAATAAATAAATAAGGTCTTTTCCAGACAGTGGTGGCCCACACTTTTAATCCTAGCACAAGAGGCAGAAGCAGGCAGTTCTCTGAATTCAAGTCCAGCCTGGTCTACAGAATGAGTTCCAGGACAGCCAGGGCTACACAGAGAAACTCGAAAAAACAAAGTCTTTGTGTCCTCAGTCCCCACCCCAGTAAATCTTTATTAAATCTTTGTGTGTACAGGCACATGCACGCCAAGGCAGGGTCTCTCTATTATGTAGCTCTGTCTCTCCTAGAACTCACTATGTAGATTAGGCTGGACTTGAACTCACAGATCCACTTGCTTCCAAGTGCTGGGCGTGTGTGCACACCCAGTTTCTTGAATGCTGTTGAAAGGTCAGGAGGACCTCAAGCAGCAGAGATGGTTTGAAATTATCAAGTAGTCAAAGCAGAATGAGAGAAAAGAAAAACATGAAATCCATGCTAAAATTTGTTTTGACCCCAAGGGATCCAAAACATAATTTTAACATGTAATCGGCATTAAAAGAAACCGTGACAGGGATGTGTGTGTGACAGTATAATGTGTGTATGTGCTTAGAGAACGTGGCCGAACCGTGTTCTCCACAAGCAGCGTCCGGTGGACCTGCTTCTGATAACTCAGTTGCATCCTGTGCCAGCCAGCTATGGTGCTGAGAAGCCAGAGCCAGAAGTCAGCCGAGGGAGGAGTGACTCTGTCACCCCAGGGACATGGGAAAGGACAAATGGCAGAATGTAGCCCTTGGCTCACAGGGGAGGTTCTCAGCTCTGAAAGGCAGAGGCATGCATGCCACACTCTCAGGACAGGTGGTGGTAGACTGGGGCACAGCCACCTTTAACTTAGAGTCCAGTGGCTCTCAACCTTCCTAAGGCTGTGACTCTTCGATACGGTTCTTCATGTTGTGGTGACTCCCGGCCATACAGTCATTTCCTTGCTACTGCATGACTGTTATTTTGAGACTGTTATGAATCCCAGTGTAAATATCTGATATGTGACCCTGCAGGGGTCTCACCCCACAGGTTGAGAAATTCTGGCTTTCTTGTGCATTTCTAAGGAACTGGCTATCTGGAGCCTCCCGCAGTCAACATCTTGCTACAAGCACTCAGCCCTCTCCTTAGATAAACGCCAAGCCACGCCCGACCAGCCCCACCCCACCAGCCTGGCTTCCTGGTCTTCCTCCACAAAGCAGACAATGGCCTGCTTCCTTTCTCCCTGAACAGTCTCCCAGATGAAATTGCGCAAGCCTGGTTTCCCAACTCTAAGATCTGGCCATGATAGAACCGTTCCCACGCTCCTGTGGCATCTGAAACTCGACTTCCTGTACTGTGCTGCTAAGACCATCCTCCCCAACCCCAGCTCTATCTCCTCATACTCTCCGGGCTATCGGACCTCCAGGCTTCACTAAAACACCAACACTCCAGCTGTCCCACCCACACCCACCCCTCTGTTTGTGACTTATCTGCGCTGTCCTCAGATACTTTTCCAGAAGCTTCACAGTAGACAAACTAAGCTCTTGCTGTGGACCAGGTATTTGTTTTAGGCATTTTACAGGAACTCAACACATCCCTCCCTCTGAGGGAGATATTGTCTTAACCCCAATTTCCAGATAAGGACAACAGGCATCATTTGCCCGCTATCAGTCACACAGACAGGAAGTGAATGTAACAGCCAAGATTCACTCCTTGGCAGGTCAGCTTTGAGGACAGGAGGACACTGGTTCTGGCTGCTGTCACTGCATCGGCATGACCCTTAGTAATGGGATGAGCTACAAAACCGAGGAGCAAGCAGACACTCCCTCAGCCAGACTGCTTACCCTGTCCTGAGGAAAACCATCAGCAGGGGTTGCACCTGGCCTGTTAACTGGTGACTTCAGTCACATGGCTGCCTCAGTTGCTCCAAATTTGTGCCTTCTTGTACTTAATTACCAGATGCATCCACTAAGTCTTCGATGGTGTGAGTCATAGCTAGGTCCCTGAGGCCCATCCTCAGAATGTGTCCAGTGCCTGGCGGCGGTGAAAGGAGCCAGAGATTAAAGAGGCAACGACCCTCCCCGCAACCCTTTATCAGCCCCTGACCTAATGGGTCTGCTCAGTCCTCCTCCCTCCCTTTCAAGCTCCCTGAGCTCCCTATAAATCTGTCTGTCTTAGATAACCCACACCTAGCCTCAAACTCACTTGGTAGTCAAGAATGGCCTTGAACATCTTCTTTCTTATCTTCCTAGTGCTAGGATGCCAGGGGTGCACCACCACTCCTGGCTAACGAGGGGCCAGGGATCAGACCCAGGGCTGCAAGCATTCTACCAATCATGCCACACGCTCTCGG